ACACCAGATAGCAGAACTATCTGATAAGCCTGGCCCTTTTAAACTGTGATGTTATGTAAAAAAACTGTTGAAGAAGCAAATGTGGTATGTTGGAATCATACCATTTAGCATTCTATAGTCTGCCTACCCCCATGGGAGACAGGCGGGAGGCTAAGTATGTATGTAAACAAAATAGAAGTAATACCGGGCAGTCTTATGTCGGAATACTCAACCGTTACTCAATTTTAAGTCGCGCTTAAGTATAGTTCTATCTCTACAAATTCTTTGTAAAATGACAGAGATGGCACGATATTTAAGCATGACTTAAAATTGAGTAGCGTTTCAGTATTCCGGCATTAACAACTAAATTGTTTAATAATACAAGTAACACCTCTAGACAATGTCAAAATTTGCATAATTTTTGTTTATATTCCTTATTCAATGTTCAAGTTCAATGTCGTAAGTTTAATGTCGTACTACATGTTGCCCGCGTACAATACGAATTTTAGAACATAATTATTTTTGTTTCAATTATCCAAAATAAACATAGCCCATGTAGCTGTCGCGGAGAACCTAACGGGTAACCGGGGCTCCGGCTCGACGTGCAGGAGAAGGAACGGGGTGGTTTTTAGTCAGAAAGAGTCTGACACTCCCTTCCGCCTCACTCAGGCGGGAGCAGTCATTCGATGATTTTCCCCCCTTAAAAAAGCCCATGTAGCTGCCAATAATAGTTTTGCATAAATTAAAAAACTGCGTTTAAAAAAACCGACTTCAAAAACAAATGACAAACAAAAAGTAAAAACTAAAAAGGAAAAAAAAAACTATTAGTGGTCATACGTACTTATAGCTTACACACCCACTGATAGGTTAGAAGTCGGTGCCACAAGTTTTAAACCTAATTATTATATATTCATTAAAACCTTAATAGATACCTAACATTATTGAGCTGTTTACAATTTTATTATGGATTATACCAGCTGTGACTTTTGTCTACTATATATTTTATTGTGGATTTGTGGCACCGACTTCTAACCTATCAGTGGGTGTGTAAGCTATAAGTACGTATGACCACTAATAGTTTTTTTTTTCCTTTTTAGTTTTTACTTTTTGTTTGTCATTTGTTTTTGAAGTCGGTTTTTTTAAACGCAGTTTTTTAATTTAATTTTATACTTTTTAGTTTAGTACTTTGATATATTATATTATACAAAACCCACATGGATGCAAAGTTTTCATCAATACACATTATGCAAGTTCAAACACCGGGTGGGTACTCTTAACCATTGAAGAGTCCCTTAGCTATCATACTACTTCGTCATTGGACCTTTAATGACCATCACCCATCTAGGTGTAAAGTCCTCATCAATACAAATTAATCAAACCCAAACACAAAGTAGCTACTGTTAACCGTTGAGGAGTTCCCTCAACTATCGTACTACTTCATCATCAGACCCTTATTGTCAATTACACCCCACTAAGGTGTAAAGTCCTCATCAATACAAATTAATCAAACCCAAACACAAGGTAGCTAGTATTAACCTTTGAGGAGTTCCCTCAACTATCGTACTACTTCATCATCAGACCCTTATTGTCAATTACACCCTACTCAGGTGTAAAGTCCTCATTAATACAAATTAATCAAACCCAAACACAAGGCAGCTACTGTTAACCGTTGAGGAGTTCCCTCAACTATCGTACTACTTCATCATCAGACCCTTATTGTCAATTACACCCTACTCAGGTGTAAAGTCCTCATTAATACAAATTAATCAAACCCAAACACAAGGTAGCTACTGTTAACCGTTAAGGAGTTCCCTCAACTATCGTACTACTTCATCATCAGACCCTTATTGTCAACTAGCTGTGCCCGCAACTTCGTTCGCGTGGAATAGTGACTATGAGCAGCGTTTTTTTTTTTAAATATATACTCACGACGTGATTCTTTAATTTGACATAACTTTTTTATTTATGAACCGATTGACATGAAACAAACACTAAAGCATAACTGAAGCATACCACAATATATTCGTGAAAACCGCATCCAACTCAGATCAGCCGTTTCTGAGATTAGCGTGAACAGACAAACAGACAAAAAAAAAGTTAATTACATTTTTGGGTTCGACATCGACATAACAATAACCCCTGCTATTTTTTTTTATTTTTATTTTCAATGTACAGACAGCACTTTTCTACAATTTTATTATATGTATAGATTACACCCCACTCAGGTGTAAAGTCCTCATCAATACAAATTAATCAAACCCAAACACAAAGTAGCTACTGTTAACCGTTGAGTTCCCTCAACTATCGTACTACTTCATCATCAGACCCTTATTGACAATTACACCCCACTCAGGTGTAAAGTCTTCATCAATACAAATTAATCAAACCCAAACACAAGGCAGCTACTGTTAACCGTTGAGGAGTTCCCTCAACTATCGTACTACTTCATCATCAGACCCTTATTGACAATTACACCCCACTCAGATGTAAAGTCCTCATCAATACAAATTAATCAAACCCAAACACAAGGTAGCTACTGTTAACCGTTGAGGAGTTCCCTCAACTGGCTCTCGGCTCCATCATCAGATCGGCTCCAGACCTTTATCAGATTGTAGTGGTTTTTAATACTCAATGAAAAAATTAACAAATGCCCTAGTCACCCCTATAATTTTTAAAAGTTCCCCTCGGTTTCCCTGGTCTTCCATCATCAGATCCTGATTTCCTTATCATGGGACCATTCTGGAACTATCTCCTTTCTAACAAAAAAATAATTTTCAAAATCGGTTTATAAACAACGGAGATATCGGCGAACAAACATAAAAAAAAAAAAAAAAAAGCATATATACGGTCGAATTGAGAACCTCCTCCTTTTTTTGAAGTCGGTTAAAAATCAGTCCAGCCATTCCAGAGATTAGTCAGTACAAATAGATAGACAGACAGATAAAAATTGTAAAAACATGTTATTTTGGTAAGTGTATTCATGTATTGTATATATATTTGTATATAGGAAAAAGAGGTTATTTATAATGTTACACAGAGACACTCCAATTTTATTTATCTGTATAGATATATTGTAATAAAATTTTCTTGTAGAGACTTATGTGTATAGAATAACATTGAATTCTTTCGTCTAATGATTTAATACAGGGCTGTCCAAACTATACACCCTCACAGGCTAATTAAATTTGTTACAAAAGCTGGAGGGCCTGAAAAATAATTTGAGTTGTATAATAATGTTTAACATTGTATTCTTTACTCACATACTAATCTTGTATACAAATCATACTCTGAATTTTATTATTGTTGTTGCACATAAGATGAAGATGTTGAGATTAAAATATGTGTCACAGCACACATGAAAACAAGCCGGGGGCCGCATGTGGCCCGCGGGCCTTTGTTTGGACAGCCCTGAATTAATATAATGGATATGTTCAAGACTAACGATGGATGGCTACTACTGATAATAAGTAAAACCTAAAAAGGTTGATTATTATGTTTCCAGCTTACTCACACAACTGTTTGTTGACAAGGAACTGGACTTGTGTTGCGAAATGCTGTTTATATAATTATATACATGGATATGAGCCTCTAGCATTGCTTGAAACTAGTCAAGTTCCTCGTCAAACAATTTTGCAAGTAAGCTGAAAACAATATTTAACTCATACACAATAACCTGATATAAATTGGTTACACAAAAGAAGTCTCTAAGCATCCTTACTAATATTATAAATCTGAAAGTGAGTTTGTTTGTTCCACCTTCACGCCGTAACTACAAGACCGATAGCTTTGAAATTTTGCAGACGTAAAGTTAGAAGTCTGGATTAAATAATAGGGTACTTTTTATCCCGGAACAAAATGATATATTCTAGGAAAAACAAAAATATTGGTATAGATGGCGCTGTGTGTATTGGTATATGTCACATAGGCTACTTTTTATCCTTTTGTGAGGCGAGCAAAGCTGCGGGTAAAAGCTAGTATATAATATATACATGGATATGAGCCTCTAGCATTGCTTGAAACTAGTCAAGTTCCTCGTCAAACAGTTTGGCGAGTAAGCTGAAAACAATATTTAACTCTTACACAATACCCTGATATAAATTCTCAAAACTTGTTCACACTAAAGTAGTCTCTAAACATCGGAAATAAGGTATATAATGGAGTTAGAGGAGATTCGTTACCGGTGACTGCTTGGGGATTGAGTTGTTAATTAAGTGTGTCTCAAGTATGTTATAATATACCCAAAAGGTATTATAAAAATTAAAAAGGTTTGCTGATGATGATAAAAATCATAACACAGCATGAAAATGTAATTGAGTTTTAATGGATATATATTACTTTTATACTTCCATGGCCAGTAGAGTGCAAAAGAAACCATATTTTCCTTAATTAACTTGTGGAAGCAAAACTGATGCCATATTGATGCCACGTGCCATACTGATTGCAATAGGAACACAATATTAAATACGTATTGTGGTACTATTGAGCATTTAACAAATTAGAAAAAAAATCTGATTACTTTAAATGTAGATAGATATCAAAAATGGACAGACAGAAGGGATTTGATTGAGTTAAAATCAGGCGCAGTACTACAATGTTTCCTTAAAATACCAATGTTTAGTCAGATATCATTGACTCTGTGCCAATTGCAATCTTATTAGAAGAAGGCTAACAAAATCAGCAAAATAATTACATTTAAAGAGTTTAAATATAGGCTTCATGATATAGTTGCCTTTGCCAGTCTTAAGAAAGGTCTACCTTGTCGATTGTTTGTTTTAAAATGAGAACATAACTAACAATAGTCTGTTTACATATTCTACAATGAAAACAACGCCTCATACTAATAACATAACCTTACTTATATAATAGTATAGTTTTATTTGATTTCTATTGCACATCCAACAATGTTTTTATTGATAGTCCTCTGAAATAATCACAAGGAAATACCAAAGACAATATTTTCGTACTTTATATAACAGGCAATTGTATAAGCATGTTCAGCCTTGTCGGTGTACTGTACATACCTTAAGACATTCTTATCAAAGTTCCTGATAGTTTCTTCAAGACTTTCTTTACAAATTATTGCGTCATACACTGCTGCCGAGCTCTCTTTCCCCCTCACATTTTTACTTTTCCCACTGTTTTGCTTACGATGACGGAAAACACTTGAATATCTTGAAGATAATTGGCTAAAACTAACTAAAATCTGCAATGACAAAAGGTTATATTTTTAATGACAAAACAGTTTTCATTTACACTTCAAGTCCATGTTTTTTGCAGTTATACACCGCGGAAAATGTCTGTTTACCTGGTTTTGGGTATTTAAAGAATTCAATGAGAACATGTTACATGTAGATGGTTATTGAGTGTATTTTTCTGTAAGAAGTAGTGCACTCGAAAATTTTGTAGGCTCGCACGTCAAACTTAATTTTCGCAGTGAAAAAAAAAATGGCTATAGAGAGCTGAGCGAATATGAAGTCTGATGCTTAGTCGAGTTGTCATGGCACTTCAAAGTAACTATTTGGATAAAGTGATGTATGCACTAATAAGATATTTTAGTAATTATAATATTATTCAATAGTATAAGTAGGACATCAATGAATAGTAAGATGTTAATGAGCAGATTTTGAAAATCTATTAAGCAACAAAATCTATTTTTCAATTAAAAGTAATACTAGAGTGTTATTTGGAATTCACAACTCATCCACAATAGAAATAGTTTACAGCCGGAAGACGTCCACAGCTGGGCAAAGGCCTCCTCCTTTAGCCCTCCACGTCGAAAAACAACTCGACCTGCTGCTGCATCCATAGGCTCTCCGCAACTCTAGTGATGTCGTTGGTTCATCTAGTGGGCGACCTGCTCACACCTCACACTTCGTTCTCCACTTCGTGGTCTCCACTTTAGAAAATAGTTTACATAATTATTACTTGAAAAACTATCCATTTATAATACACAGCCTCATATTGAAATCTAGCATCTAAGAAAATACTTATTAGTCGATTTCAAGGCGATTTAATGGTACTCTACTCTTACAATTCCACAATTGTCTGTGGTAAAGTTTTGAAAGAAGTTCAAATACGAGGATAAATAAATTAAAGTTGATATAATCTTCTTGGGATATTATAAGTTTCTCTAAAAGGTTTTATTATTTTAAGGGGGGAAAGTCAACGAATGACTGCTCCCGCTTGGGTGAGGTGGGAGGGAGTGTCAGACTCTTACTGACTGAAAACTACCCCGTTCCTTCTCCTGCACTTCGAGCCGGAACCCTGGAAACCCGTTAGGTTCTCCGCGACTTCTCTAAAGGCTAGGGTAACGATAGCTTATATTGTAATTAAATCTCCATCAATTTCAAATGTTTGAATAGCGCAGCACGTAATAATATTGTAAGCCTCGAATTTGGGCAAAAATAAAAATATTTGGTTTTTGAACAGGCAGTCATCTTTATACTCTATATTGTCTATGCTTTATTTGGACAGTAGAATCCAAAATGGCGACGAGCGATGACGAGCCTATGCATTTATATGAAGTTTTTCAAAACTGTTTCAATAAAATAGCTAATAAACAACAAGGTGAGTGAGAAAATGCATACCGTGGCTCGTCTCGCGTTCCTCGAACAATCTATCGCGGTTCAGTGAAGTGTTTCATTGTGAATATCAGTCATAGTGTTTGCGTGTTATGCCATTACTGTGTTGAAAAGCAACAGCATTTTTCAAAATACTTTCGAATAGTACAACCTACGCGTACTATAAGCAGTTGCTAACCTTCTGCAATCATTAATGTATGCGTTTTAATTATGTAGGATGCCGTAAGTACGCATTTTAGGCGTACAAAGGCTATGTTTTGATCGTATACTACGACATCAATGTGCCTGTACCATTGTGCTACAGCGTTTTCAGTGCTAATCTGAATTGTTTTACGGGATTTATTTACGTTACAGTCATCGCTCACAACTTAATAAGGTAAACTTATCGATAAGAGAATGAAAAAGGTAGTTATTCGTATACACATCTCAAGAAAGACATGTTCTTGTCGTATGCAAGTTTCATGATGCATTTTTTTTTCTTGTTCGCAAGTATCAATGGACACAACGTTGTCAGCCTGCTGTGTAGAGGTGTACATGGGTATTTAGTTCGCGAATCGTTGTTTTTATGTTCTCTTTGTGCCAATGTTTACAGCGTAATTTTTTTGTTTATTTACACACGTAAGGCGCGGGCTCGAAGCGTCTATGGAATCGACTGTTAGGCATGTACTATAAAAAAAAAACTAGCTTACGATATATGTTAGGAATTTTCTGTTATGGAATAAAATTGATGAATAAATGTTCATGTTATGTCCTTTGACCATATTTTATGTTCAATTACAACAATTTGATATTGATCTACTTGTGTCATGATAATGATTCAGTGCATTTATTGTAAAGCAGTAAGTTTATGAATCATTAAAGTTTAAACTGACTTTTGTTTGTATTTCTTCAATAAATTATGTTTAATTATAATGAAAATATTTTTAGTTATGATTGCTTATTTGGTATTAGTCAGTGACCAGCCACATTACAAATTTAAAGGTTAGGTGTTATTTACTGTTTTTAACTTGATATAAACATTTTCAAAAGTTCTGTGCTCTAAATAGAGGCAAAGAAATCAAATATATATTTTTATTTCAATCAAAATGAAACTGTAGTTACAACAAAAAATCCTATTTCAAGGATAACTAATAATATTGAATTTTTTCAATGTGCCAATACTAATTATTATAATTTATGATAATGTTGATTCTGATTATAATGACAAAATTAATAATGAATTTATTGCTGTGCAGGTCAGAATAATATTACTATAATCTTTATTTCATATCTATTTTCAGATCTACTGTTTTATAAAAATAAAAAATCTTCAATTCAAGCCAGAATCTTATTTAAATAAAAACAATCTAATTGAACCTATGATTTGGGTTAGGTATTTTATAAAGACTAAGTACTCCTGCTATATTAAAATCCCCAGTAGATTGTAGGTATACTTATTTGGATACCCAAGCAAAGCCCAAGTTTTTATAAGTGGCCAATAGACACAGAGCTTACTACCTACCTATTTTGTTAGTGCCCAGAAGTACCTTTTTGGTCTCATTTTTACTTTTTACCTAGGTACCATAGACTATAAAATAATTCTCATGTATTTAAAATATGCTGTATATAGGGCAAAAGACAAGCTATATCTAAATGTAAATCATTGTGGATTTTGAATTTGTTATTAGCAGCACACACTTGAGTCAACAGTAAATATATACTTACAAAGTAAATAAATGGCTGCTAACATTTCAAATTATACCTTAATGGTACTGTAGTAAGGTTGAATATTGAGTAATGGTTGGGTTGAATATTCCAGTATGTAATTTTCTATGGTTTCCTAAATTTGAAATAATTGTCTCTAGTGAGGATAATGATATCAGTCTATCTGTTCCATAAACTTAAAACAATTCAAAAAACTTTGTTTGACAATATTATAGAAACATTTCAAAGTAGTCTTCGAGTAGAAATTCTGTTGTATTTCATCTTTATTCATTATCATACCAGCTACAAGATATCCACTGCCTCTATATGAGGGTTTCCCAAATGAGTTCCAGATAGTCCTGATTTAAAAAGTCACTTTTATACAATTTAGTAAAACTGCAGATAGGTTGAGTAGGCAGTAATTAGGTAACTATATTAGAAAGAGGCTAATAAAAAGTATTGCCCGTGTAAAAAAAGCTGTTTTATTTACCTGTGCGAGATACAAGCCCGCAACACGTTGCTCAGCAGTTTTTCACCCTTATAATGCTCTAACCATGCATTCACTGTTTAAACTGTCAAACACCAAGCAGTCACCGGTGACCGCAACCTATTGTTCTTTAATTGTGTCTATAAATACGGTACTTGACGAGTTAATGCTGTATGATTTAGTTATGTGGCCAGTGCATCTGCTTACCTTTTCGGGGATAAGACATTATGTTACAATTAGCTTTTCTGTCACACATCACACTCGTGGCACATCATCTTCACGATTGTTCATGGTTGTTCACAGTACGAATCATCAGGTTATTCGCTGTTTTATAAAAGTTTACAAGCCTAAAAATTATTAACTATATACAGTATTATATTATACATACATAGTATATATTATTTTTAAAAAATTACTTGTGTTTTGGCTTCACATCAACCATTTCGGTGGATTGCTCCATCGTCGACCACATCATCGCTTAACACCAGGCGAGATTGTGGCTAGTGGCTAAACGTCGACCTATAAAGTATCAAATAAAAAAAACAACACAAATTCGAAGTCTTTTCGTTTGTTTCAAAACCATAAACAGTTATCCTTACTAAATTACCCTTTGAGTACCGTTATTATAGACACAATTAAAGAACAATAGGTTGCGGTCACCGGTGTCCTCGCGGTGTTTGACAGTTTAATTAAAATCGCCGGTTACTCACGTGAATATACTGATAAAAGCTCTACTAGTTTCGAACCACAGACGGGTTCTTCCTCATGAGCAGCATGCGCGGTCGCGGCGACGTCACGATCGTTAATTTAGTATGTCTCACGATAGTTATTATAAAAACAATTATCGTTACATTTTTTTTATTGGTAATTAGGTAGGTGTATGGCCGCTATCTCACTATTTCTTTGTCTATGTATAAATTCGTTACGACAAAACCTCGTCACCTCTGTCCCATCACTTCCCGAGATTTGTGTACACTAAACAAACACATTGATAGCAATAAAACGCTTCGAATCGTCCATGTGACCTAGAAACGCCTATTAGCTATATTTTTAGTGTAACTGGTGAGTCAACGGTCGTATTATATCAATTAATACTATTCTCACAGTTATACGCATGAATTGTTAGGTTATAGATTTTTTTATGTGATTTGGTTTAGTAAGAGCGCCACCTGTTGGTTTGTTGTATGGTGATAGCTGGGTAGAATATGTTTGTCATCACTGCAATTCTCGCAAGTCTTGTAGGAGATAAATAAGGCGCTATACATTTGACAGAGATCGGGCAGTAGTACTTTCTGATAAACTGCGATGTCCAACACGCCCCTCAAAGGTGCTACTTATGTCTAACCCTTCTTATGTAGAGGAGACCAATAGTCCGGCAGTGGACTTTTACGGGCTGTCGAGGTGACTGCATCCAATTTTTTCAATAGTAAAGAGAAACATGCAAACATAAAGATATCTTCTCGGGAAAGTAAAACAAATCACAAATCGGGAGTCAGCGGTTAAATCGAGAGACTGGGGCGGATAAAGGAGTTGATACGAAAGCCTAATTTCGAAGGATATTCTGATGAGACTGAATCTATTACTTCTTTC